GCCCCAGCGTTCTTGAGACCAAATGACATCATTGTATAACAATATAAACCTCGGGCAGAATAAAAAGATGTATGCTCTGCTTCTTCGGGATCCATTGGGATCTGATTATAACCCGAGTATGCATCCACGAAACTCATCAATTCATGTCCGGAAGTGGCGTCCACCATGTAATCAATATGCTGCAGTAGATAGCTGTCTTTTGGACAAGCCTTATTCAAGTCGGAAAAATCGATATAGAGTCGCCACGCTCCAGTACTTTTCTTGACTAGAACAGGATTAGACACCCAAGTCGGGTATTTGGTCTCTTGAATGAAATTTTTGTCGATTAGCTTCTTGACTTCTTCCTCCAGAGCCTTTTGGTGGTCAGGACCGAGTTTATGTCTCTTTTGAACAACTGGCTTTATTGTAGGATCCAAATTAAGTCGACGTGAAGCCACATTGGGGTCAATACCTTTCATATCTTCATGTTTTCAAGCAAATACATCAGGGTTTGCCCGGAGAAATTGGATAAGTTGAGTTCGTATTGGCTCTTGAATATTGGCCGCAATCCAAAGTGCCTTGTCGCCGATAGGATCATCAATAAAGATTGTTTCAATTTCATCGGATGGTTCAGCTCGGTCGACTTTGCTTTTGTCTTTGAATTGAGTCTGGGGATCAAGTTCATCTTCTTCATTAATTGGTTCTTTCCCATGACGTCTTCCACGATCTTGAGTTAAATCGTCTTGAAATTTCTCTCCCGAGTTTGTCGTGATCTCGAGTGGTTCCACTTCCATTTCGGTATTATCGGGTACCGAGTTCTTTGAAGTTGGTGGTTTTTCTAATTTTTCCTGAACATTTTCTGCCATATGTATGAGAGGAGAGGATTCATGCCAAGGTTTAACCCATACCATTCTGCGGGCTTCATATTGATCGCCGTAGTGAGTTCCCTCCCCATTTATTCATGGGGAATTTTAAGGCATAATGGAAGATTGAGACAGCTGCACGAAGCTTGTACAAAGCTGTTCTTTCCACGATGGCATTATATTTGTTTTTAAGATCCATCACTTTGATGTCTCCCTAATAACCTTGGATGCTTGCCCAGGTATTCCAAATCGAATTGGCATAGTAATCTCGCCAAGAGTCAGCGTGATTGTTCCATTAAAGCCTTGTACTTGATCTTTACAAGGTTTTAACTCAGCAGGGTCAATTCCCATTTGTTCGAACGTACGGAGCATTAAGATACTCGAATATGCACCTGTATCAACCATTATTCGATGCACTGGTATCCCGCATATCGGTGCTGTGATCACAAGTGGATCAGAATGTGGGTGAGCGAAATAGCTTGCATCATCCACATTAAAAGTAATTGGGCAATTATTCCGGGCATTGATTTTATCTCAGAGGTCGGTAGTTATGATGGTTTTGCCCGAGTTATAAGCTTGTCGAGCATACGCCTTCATTTGCCGACGTGATTCATTTACTTTTCCATTGCGGTTATTAACTTGTAGAATATTATGAAAACCAAGAAGTTTGGAATAACCGCTTCGTTGTAATGTTTCACTTTTTTCTATGAATGAAGATTCATTGTTCTCCGAGTTGAATATAAACACTTCTTTGTCACCCTGTCTAATGCGTTTTGGATTAATCGGGCGATCATCATCTTCATCATCGTCTGAGGGTTCCGGCAATCTGCCTTTTCGTTTATAATCGACATTCTTAGCAAATCTCTGGTAACGTGTCATGCCGACTTGTGATATGAACAATATTTCGTCTTGTCAAGTTTATCCTCTGGAGTCCTCACAGGTCGGGGATCGGGAAGAATCCCTTTTCTGTAGCAGCTCCAGCCGAGAATACTGTTTGATAACTTGACTTGACTTCGTTGAGGTATTTAGCTCTGGCTTCTTTCACCTCGGGATTTTTTTTATTCCCGACCCGAGATTTATTTTGTTTAAAAGATTTGTTCTTTTTCTTTTTTGATTCTTGTTCTAACTCCGACTTATTGGAAGAGAAATTGAGATTAGGAACTGACATTGATTCCTCAGCAATGATGTGTTGTTGGGCTTGAGCTAAAAATTCCTGAAACGAACTCAGTTTATTTTGGTAGATACTCCAGCAAAACAGAGAATTTGGCGTTCGCCCTGCTATCGCCGTGATCAGCAATGTTTCTGGATGACACTACTCCATATTCTGTACTCGTTCATTAAACCAAGTAATATAGTCTTTAACACTCTCATTATCCTTTTGCACGATATTGGCAATCGACTCTTTTGGAATCAAAGATACTCGGGCCCCAATAAAATGAGATCGAAAAGCGGTTCAGTTGTTGCCATTTTGAAATTGAACACCGAGGTAAAGAGTGATACCACTTTTGAGCACGAGGTCCCAGAGTTAGTGAGAACATCCGACATCTTAATGCGTCGATTGCTCCGTGAAGGTCCATCCATGAGGTGTATTGACCGAGATGTGCATCTAGATCCGAGGTGCCATCATAAAGACCGATATGTGGAACCTTGATTTTTCCTGACAATGGTTCCATTGTAAGGTGGGGAGCCAAATGAGTTTCGGCTTCCAAATAAACATTACCCAAGATGGGGCCCCTTCTTTGAGATTCTTCTAGACCTCCTTGCTGAGTTTCCAACTCGGCAATTCTTTTCCGTAATACTTCTAGTTCCTCCGACTCGTGTCTCTAACGATTCCTTTCAATAGTATGACGCAGTTCATCCGTCTCGCCTCTAAATCGATTCCTCTTAATGGTATGACGCAAGTCGGACTGTCGAACAGGTTGCGAAGTCGCCGGTGACGAAGGCACCGGTTGTTGTCGACGACACCCTGAATGACTTTCAGCAGCAATTTCAGGTGGAATACCCTCTGGAGGATTATTATTAACAGGAACTTAGCCGTGACTTTGAGCAGCTATATTTTGTTGCGGCACAGGAGTTTGCGGTTGTGAAGTTGCATGAGATGGAACAGTGTTATTATTCTGCTGTTGAACAGGCGGCGTCTGCTGCATTATTAGAATATTTGGAGCAGAAGTTTGACTATGAACTGTTATAGTTGGTCCTGCTCTTGTTTGCGCCATGAAATTAGACAGATTTCTGAGAAATTTTGGACCTTGAAACAGAACAGAGTAATCTATCGTCATGAAAGGTGCAGTCGTATCTTCAGTAGTTTGGAAAGGATTACGACTGGTTTCAGCATCTTGATTTCTTTCTTGACGCCCAGAACATGTCATGTTGACTGGTATCGAGATTGTTTGGCAAATACGTATATTTTTTTTATATGGTTGATCGAAGATTAACCTCAAATTTCTTATGAGGCTCTCCTTCTAGCGCCAAACTGTTGTTGTATGAAATTTAACAACTCAAATAAACAAACAGCGGGGTGTATTTAAAAGAAAATAAATGTAAATTTATGTGTTATTGATCATTTCACGAGAGTACAGGAAGTCGGTTTTTTATTCATAACCGTGATGTTTTATAGTCCGTGTACAATGTGCGAAAAAAGGATCCCCGTACAGTAATAAATTCTATTATTTAGAGTACGACGATTTTGTCTTTTTTTTCCGAGTAGATCAGATCGCATTTAATGTTGAGTAGCTTCAATAAAGCGGGGTGTAATAGAATAAGGGAACATCAATGATTATTCTTTGACTTGATGGTCCAATTAAAAACATACAGCGTCTCCTGTTTTGAAATTTGATCTTCTCGAATCTCGGCTAAATGGATAATTTTTAATATAATCATCTACGAAGTCGGCTCCCTTTGTCTTTAACGTGAAGTCGATTTTTGAAACTTGAAGACCAATCGGTTATTTCTTCAGCTGTCGAAAGTCAGTCATTGTTCAGCTGTGCCGAGTTGAATAAAGGGTCGCTAAAAATAATCCCAAAGGGCCATTAATAGTATTAGAATAATCTGTCTTCTAATTAATTATGGGTAATCAAGTCGATCATCAACAACACTATTGTGAATAAGTGTGGATGACTCCATAAGTCGAGCCATCCAATAGCTCCATAACAAAACTGTTTGTATTAAATGCTTAACTTTTATATCATAGAGAGATATTTTGCTCTTTTGCAATTTAATTTTTAAATTTTTTAGTAAAATTCAAAATGATTTTCCGAAAATACAGTTTCTAATACACCTTAACTATACATATTTGTGATTTTAATGATATTTTGTAGTTACGATGTATTAGAAGTGAAAATTATGAATTTTAATATTCATTTTTTTTATATTCAAATTACAAATTTCAAGAACAATATCAGTTGATGCAGAATGTTCATCTACCAACAATGAACATATTAAGATGCATATATCAACCGACTACGTGATCTTTGAATACATCATCGTTTATAATATTCTAAGAATCAATTTATGGACAAATTAATATGTGCTAAGTGAGAAATGAAAAGCTTATTCTTAATAGAGGAACAACTTATTTAAATATATATGTATATATTGTATTAAAAATTTACAATAACTCGATGAACAATGAAACTATTGTTAGCCACACTTAGTTAGATAAAATATGAAGCTTTTATATTATAAGTATGCTGTTAATAAAAATTACGATTGGATGGAATGATATCTATTAGGTCGTGTACATTAAAATAATTGACATAATTGAGGTTATGCAATTTTGGGGGCAAAACTTAATTAAGAGGAAAAAACTCCATATGTCAAAGTTACTAACAAGGTACTACTTGACCGGATCACAACAATTTTTAGATATTTTCTCTAAATAATTTGAATAAAAAACTAATTTTCCGTCGCCTCCAAGGTACTAACATTCTCCGTATATTTTTCCATATAATTTTCCTTATATAAAATATTTTACAATATAATTATAAAATTAAAATACGAAAAACTATTTTTACTTGGTCTCCAAGCATATATCTCCCCTACATAAAGCCCTCAAAACCACCTTTCAGCACACCCACTCGCCTGAATCTCAACTACTCGTCGTAAAAATTCGTTAAAAACAGTTAAATCAAAACCCTACCGTTCTCTTCTCTTTCCTCCATGGCGGCACCGGCCTCAATTTCTCTCCTCGGACCACCGGAAATCTACCCGGCAACCCCCGCCCCCTCCGCCACCGCCACCGCCACCGCCACCGCCACCGATCCCACAACCGCCGCCGCAGGATCGTACGTGGATGTCCTTGTAGCGAACTTGAACGGTGTGGCGATTGGCCGAAATCAAAACCTTCCGATGGGTCTGACGGAGAATTTCTCGCCGACCTTCCTCTCGACGGGGAACCCCTGCCTTGATTTCTTCTTCCACGTCGTCCCCGACACGCCGCGGGAGACCCTGGTCGAGCGTCTGAAGCTCGCGTGGGAGCAGGACCCACTGAAGGCCCTGAAGCTCGTCTGCAACCTCCGTGGGGTGCGGGGCACCGGGAAATCAGACAGAGAAGGCAGCTACACGGCGGCGCTCTGGCTGCACGAGAACCACCCCAAAACCCTAGCCCGCAACATCGACTCGCTGGCGAATTTCGGCTACTTCAAAGACCTTCTCGAGATTCTATTCCGGGTTCTCGAAGGCCCCGACGCCCGGCAGAAGGCCAAGGAGGCGTACGAGCAGTGGAAGCAGAGGAAAGAGACAAAGGAGATGAAGAAATTGTATGGCAAAGACTATTTTGGTGGCCGGAGAAGGTTCGTTGGCGGAGTGAAGAGGAGCAACAAATCGAAGAAGGAGAAAATCGAGCCAACCTTGAGCCGAGAGGAGAAGAGAATCCTTCGTGCGAAAAGGGTTGTCGAGAGGTTTAACAGAGACCCCGACTTCAAATTCCTGCACAACTGCATGTCGGACTGTTTCGCACAGTTCCTGAGGTCGGACATGGAGATGCTGAACTCGGGGCATCTCAACAAAATCAGCTTGGCCGCGAAATGGTGCCCTTCTATCGACTCCTCCTATGATCGGATCACGCTTCTCTGTGAGACAATCTCGAAAAAGGTATTCCCGAGAGCCGAGTATCCGGAGTACGAAGGAGTGGAGGAGGCCCACTATGCGTATCGAGTGAGGGACCGTTTAAGGAAGGAAGTGCTCGTTCCTCTTCGTAAAGCCCTGGAGCTGCCGGAGGTTTACATTGGGGCCAACGATTGGGGTTCCCTCCCTTACAACAGGGTGGCCTCGGTTGCCATGAAAACGTACACACGCTTATTCTTCAAACACGACGAGTCGAGGTTTCGGGAGTATCTCGACAAGGTAGAGAGAGGTGAAGCCAAGATTGCAGCTGGTGCCTTGCTTCCGCACGAGATAATTTCTAGCCTGGATGATGGCGGCCAGGTGGCGGAGCTTCAGTGGAGGAGGATGGTGGATGACATGGCGAAGATTGGGAAGTTGAATAACTGTTTGGCAGTATGTGATGTGTCTGGGAGTATGTCCGGGATTCCAATGGAGGTATCGGTGGCTCTTGGGCTTTTGGTGTCTGAATTGAGTGAGGAGCCTTGGAAAGGGAAAGTGATTACTTTCAGCGAAAGACCCAAGCTTCAGACAGTCAAGGGTTCCAACCTGAAAGAGAAGACTGAGTTTGTGAGGCGTATGGAATGGGGTTGGAACACGAACTTCCAGAAGGTGTTCGACTTGCTGCTTAAGGTGGCGGTGGACGGGAAATTGAAGCCAGATCAAATGATCAAGAGGGTGTTTGTTTTCAGTGACATGGAATTTGACCAGGCGTCTATGAACCCGTGGGAGACTGATTATGAGGCGATTGTGAGGAAGTATGGTGAGAAGGGTTATGGGGAATGTGTGCCGGAGATTGTGTTTTGGAACTTGAGGGACTCACGGGCTACACCGGTGCCGGCAAACCAGTCGGGGGTGGCGCTCGTGAGCGGGTTCTCGAAGAATCTGATGAAGTTGTTTTTGGAGGGAGGTGGGATTATAGATCCTGTTGTGGTCATGGAAGCTGCCATTGCTGGGGAGGAGTATCAGAAGCTTGTGGTGGTAGACTGATTCAATAGGTTGTGTTTTGTAAGTGCTCTTGGAAATTTCATGTAAGTTTCTTGGTGGTGAAATGAGCTTGTGGCTTGGTGAGTGATCAATAATAGAAAAAAATTGCTTTTGGAAAAAGTTGGAGTTCATCAACTGATGATTCTGTTGTCTATAATTTTCATTGTTATTTCTACTTTTCTGCTTCTTCTTGATTGGAACCTTAATGAAGCAGAAAAAGCTACAAAATGCTTCTTACTACTAATTGTGACAAAAAGCTTTACTCATCCCAACATTAAATTTCAAGTTCAAATGTCCATCTAATGTTTTTCACTACATTTCATGCACGTAGCTAACTTACTATATAGTGTGTGTGTGTGTGTGTGTGTGTTTTTTTTTTTTTTTCTTTNTTTCATTCCATCTTATGCATTGAATTTGAACAGTAGACGTGGCATTCGCGTGTCATATAGATATTAATTTATTTTAGCACGATGATAGATGGAATTTTACATGTATTGGAAGAAACAAGGATTTTACTATACCATCCAAGTAACATAGTTTGTCTTAGTGAGGAGCTCTCAAAATGCCTTATACTTCCCTCTGTTTTCTTCTATTTGTATGTCTTTTTTTATTCCTCCTGTTCTTTCATTTCTTTTGTCAACTCTCTGCACCTGCAAATGGCTACACATGTGGCCTTTTATGTGGTTCAGTAGTTTTGGGGTAGGGTGGCCTTTTCCTAAAGGCCTGTCTCATCCTTTTGCAACTGCACTCAAGTTGGCTATCAGCTTATGAGATAATAGTTTAATGCATTGCAGTTATCATAATGAGAACACCAAATTGGTGGAAATCTACTGCAATCTGTTTCTGCCTTATTTAAGCGGAAATCATGCTGCATAATGAACATTGTAATGGTCACACTTTTATCTTCAATGTTACAATCTGTCAGCAAAATGTGAGGGATTAAAACTCGATCATGGCATGAGAAACATTATTAATTATCTTGCGTCACCAATAAATTTTTACTATCAGTCTGGTTCTGTGGTCGGAATAATGGCATTTACTGTTTATATCTTTTTTCTTTTGTGTGTGTGGCTTTTGACGGATAGTTATTTGTGTTAGTCGGTGAATTACCTTATATTAGGATATTTGGAAAGCACAAGGTTGTAGTCTTTATAGATGCCTTGTTTTAATTCTTGTTGTCATATAATATTTTGATTTGTCTATTCATAAACTATAAATTAGTGCTCTTTAGTCCTCATTATTATCTTTATTATTCTTCCTTGGGACAAAAGTTTATTTTGGATATCTTAAATTTTACTCTGGAGATTCATTGTAATCAACCAGATCAAATACCTTTTGTTGAATCTGGCGATTATGTGGCCTATGATAACGAGAAAGGTGGAGTCATTCAGAAATTGAAGGAAGATGGAGCCATGTATGAGCTCTGGTTGGGGTCTGACGGTAAGTCGACCCATAAGATTTATTATTCTGACCTCCCTTGGCCGATTGGGAAAATTTTGTACCATAAGCAAGTTCGTGTTGTGAAACAATTACTTAGGATCACGTCAGAAAATGCTGAAAGAAGAGACGAAGAGGTGACTTCCTTCCACATTTGTTTGTCATTTATTTTTTGTCCTATTTATTTATTTATTATGTGTGCGTGGTTTAGGAAAATTTTTTTTTGTATGAGCATGTTTGGAATCTAATATCTCATTTTTCGGCAATGGTAGCAGGACCATACCTTACTGTATGATATTTAGACGAGCTTCAGCCTGCTTAGGTTCCCAGCATCATGCTTTGAAAATGAAAAGCCCGTGTAATACAATGCCTCATTTCCACATATATAAAAGCTTATTATGTTGTTTTTTGTGCAGATACACAGCAGAGCAGTCCAGGCTTATGGTGCATTATCATCTTTGTTAGGAGAACAATTGTTTTTCTTTTAAAGCAGGTGTTCAAGTGTGCTCCATAAACTTTAGTTTTGCTATTTATTAGAAAAATTTTACAATTTTGGATCGGTATAGCATGTTGACTGTACGTCTTATTTAAATGCAGGCCTACGTTTGGATGCAGCTCTTCTTGGGCATGCTCTGTTTACACTTCATGCTTTACCTCTGAGTACATTTAATAGTAATTCTCCATTTGGTCAATACTCTTAATAGAGTTTTCTTGTTCTGTATATGTCTTTACATTCTTGTGTGGCTGTGTCTCATGCATGGGACTTATTTTTTATTTCCACATTTGAGGGGCCGACATAGCCATGGTCAATAATGTGGTATCACATCTCTTTAGTATATATTGAAAAATATGTATCTGGCAAATCTGAGTCAATAACTACAATCCATTAAACGTATGGCCCAAGCCTCATTATGGACACACACACACACACACACACACTCACATGAGAATTTCTGTCATATGTATCTTACATTTGTGCTGCTTTAATATTTTCGAGCGCTCGACTCCCATTGCTCAATCAATATGGCTGCATATTGATGAACTTTGTTAGGATTTACATCATTGTTTTCACTTTACACAAGTTTCTTTCATCACTGACGAGCTTAATGTGATGCGAATCATTAAACCTCTTTGCCTCACATTATAGGAAACATCAGTTCTAAGAAGCAAGCGCTGGGGCCATGCTAATCTCGTTAGGTATGCCGAGATTTTCAAAACAGAGTATTTCGATGCAAGTTCATCATCTTCGTCAGTTCCCCAGACAGATGCCAGTCAACTTCAAGGCGGGGCCTTTCATACTGGAGTGTGTTAACTTTCGCATTTTCTCTTCCCTTTTTTAGTTCGATAGTTTACTAAATACACATTCTTTCAGCTGGTCAATCGGTTAATTTGCCGAAATTTGTGTTTTGTTTCCATCAGCTCTTCATATCATTATTTAGTAATATCCCAATACAAATGAAGGTGGAAAAATGGAAAATAATTTCGTTGCACAATGTTTTCTTTTAGGCTCGAAACCGAAGAGCAAACCTAAGAGGGAGAAAATGGAGGAAGAGAAGAAATTTAGAAGAGCAGCGAAATACTTTCTTGCTACACAACTTGTTGCCGTTTCTAATTTTCCCCTCTACTTGGTGGGTCCAACGATGCTGACGTGGAGCTTGGGGACGATGATGATGTGAGGTTACGAGTAGGAAATGACTTGCCACATAAGTCTTTTTGAGGGATTTTATTTGTTGCCTTATCGTCTTTTCTCGTCTCAATTTGGAAATTATCTCATATGTACAAGTCGTCTGAGTTACGGTCGAAATACAGAATCGGGTGCCCAGCTGGAGTATGTCCATAATTTTTTGAATTTTACCAGCATTTGAATGTTATTTGGGCAGCATTTTCTTCTGGAGTATGGGCAAATATGTTAATAATTGAACTGATTGTTGGTCTCTGTATGGAGTTTTTCATTGTTGTTCTTTGTTATTTCTGTTAAAAGATATGGGAAAACACACTGTTATTTGGATGAGCTGGAGAAAGCTGGCTTATCCCAAAGGTTGGGGTGGTTTGGGTTTTAAGGATTTTCAAATTTTTATTAACTCTTTACTGGCTAAACAATTGTGGAGGATTATTACATGTCCCAACTTGTTAGTAAATTGTTAAAAGGAAAATAGTTTTTTAACCAGATTCTTTTTCAAGTGAAAATTAAGGGAACTGACTCCTGGCTATGGAAGTGTTGGATGGGAGCTAAAGAGAGCCTTAAGTCGGGGTTAAGATGGCAAATTGGTAATGGTAACTCTGCTAAAATCTTGGATTCAGCATGGTAACTCTATGTAAGAGATATTTACATATATACACACAGTAAAAATTTTAATCGAAAGGGGATTTTGATGTTATTTTTATTTCATATCTACGATACTACTTTCTCTCTCCTGCTGATCAGTTTCTCTCTCCATATATTTTGAACATGCAATCAATTTCGGCGGAACCTACGCAAATAAAACGGGATTTTGAAAAAAAATATCAAATATGATACCCACAATTCTGGGTTTCACGGATTCAAAATTTCAAATGAGATTTTTTGTTCATCGATCTCTTTCAGCGGGAAAAAAAAAAAAATTCATCCATCTAGCTGAAAAAAAAAGCACTGACTGGGTTGGGAAAAGAAAAAAATTATTTTTCGTGAAATNGTGTAGTTATACATAAAATAAACAACATATAAACAATTCTGAACAAGATAAACATAATTCACTTTGATATTCAAAATAGAGATTCTAAAAAAAAATGACATATTAAATAACGTTAACTTAAATTTACATAAACGAGATATAAACAACCTAAGTCACATACATGTGTTCGAGCCCATATCACTGTAGTCATTTGAGATGTCCGTACCCACTTTACTCGAATGTTCTTCTTCCTCTTCATCAAGTATGAAATTCGAATTGGACTTTGTTGATTATTTGGAGAATCGACAATTTTTGTTCTACCCTTGTTGTCTCTGACCCTCGTCTTCTTCCTGTCATCGTGCATTTTATTTTTAGGTTCGAACACATTATCGTCATCTCCATCGGTATTACCTCCGACCGTCTTGGGAGTCAAAAACCTCTTGGAGTTTCAATTTTCTAAAATTGGAGTTTCTTTTGGACGATCTTACGTCCGGGTGCTTAAAATTGAGATGTTCGACAAGATTGGGAGCATGTTAATCTTGCTTCGTCTTCACTGTTGACGGATTGACCACATTTTTTCTTCGATTGACCATTGAAAATTTCAAGACTGGGAAGAGGTTTTTGTGTGTTTGGAGAATATAATTTTTTTTTTGTTTTCTTGTGAAGAAGATACACGGAAGCCGAGGGCAGGAGAGAGAAAAGCAAATTTCTTTTCTTGATTTACGATATGAAAGTAAGGGGAAATAATCTCTGACAATGAAGAATCCAGATCTGGCTGTGAAAATCCCAGAACCAGCCGTAAACCCGCCGGACGATCCCCGCTTGGATCCTCCAGATCCACGAGCAGAGGTGTTTCCCCCGCTTCAGGTTGCTTATTCGCAACCATCCTCTTCCAAAAAAAGGCGGTCGGAGGTTCCAATTGCCCGTCCCCTCGACGAATCAGTCCAGCCACCAATTCTGAATTCCTCCCGTTTTGTAATTTTTAGAGTAACCCATGCATTTTATAATTTTTAAACACGTTAAATTATACATATATTATTTTTTATATATATTATATTTCAAATTAATTATATCTTGACGAACTTCGCTTTGAAAACCATATTGTACATATAAAACAATATATTATTCACATAATAATATTAATTGGATAATAATAAAATCATTTATCTATTAAATAAATTTATCTATCAAGTCTATTATATAATATGAATTTGAAAAGTTATTATACTAACAATTTAAGTATAAATAATAATATTTAATACACGAGTATTGTATTTTACTATAATATGTGAAAAATAGAAAGTAAATTATTTCTTGTTAATTATAAGAATGCAGCAAAATATATGATAAATATCATATAGCATTGTTGAAATTTATTACTATTTGATATAGGGGAAGTTTAAAGTAATTTTCCGAACAAATATCATTAGATGCCATGCAGATTATAGACATAGACATGATGCATACATATCTGGCTGAGTGCTACTTGTTGTAATCTTATGTTTATTATATGCTTTATTTAGACATTTTTTATCTTTCTTTCTTTCTATACTAGTACGAATTAGGGGTGGGATTTTGAAACCGAGAACCGTAGAACCGAATCGGACCGAACCGAACGGTTCGGTTAATGGATAATGTGTTACTAATTTATCGGTTCGGTTATTTAGCCTTTTAATTCGGTTCCGGTTTTCGGTTCTTTTTTCCAAAATATGCCAAAAACCGAAAAACCGAATGTATGTGGCTTTATAATTTAATAGGCCCAACCCAACATTAGACATAGTGGACAAGAGCCCAATCAACCCAAATCTTAATAACAGCTTAGAAAGTCTTCTTCCATATAAACCCAAAATCATCACTTCTGCCCCCATTGGTCTCGAAACTTCCCAATTTCTTCAGCTTCAGATTCGTTCATCATCACCGTCGACCGCACTCCAACAGCGGATAGCCATTGCTTGCAACCCATCTTGTCCTTCTGGATAGACTACCATCAATTCGACTTGGTCCACTTCCTTATGGCGTCAAAGACGGAGAACAGCAGCAGATCTGCAAATTTAAACCAACCCCCTTCTTCATAGTCGACGGCCTGCCACTCGCAACCCACCGTTGCTGGCCGCGGAGACACACATCAATTCAGTATGTGGTCCATTTCTCATGGTTTTGTAGAGTGCGGATCTAGAAATCTGTGGCTGAAAACATAATTAGATTTGTGAAAAATATCCAATTCTTCACATGAACCACTTCTTCACAAAAGATGCTATTGCTAGATGATGAGAGTACAAAGAATGAAAGTCTTGTTTGGTGTGTGAATTTGAGAATCCATTTGATGGCTGAGTTTGAATATTTTTGGTATTTTCTTTTGCTAATATATATTTTGATTTTGGTCATTCAATCTATCGGTGGTTCCTCTGTTTAATTCATTTTGTGAAAATTTTGATCGGTTAATTGAAGAACCGGAGAACCGAACCGATTATACACGGTTCGGCTCTCAAATGGTTCTCCAGAAATTCAGGGCACAAACCGAACCGAAAATAACCATGAAAAACTGGTTCCGGTTCTCTCAAAAATATATAAAAACCGGACCGGTCCCACCCCTAGTACGAATCTCGTGCGATGCACGGGTAAGAGATATTTATTAATATTTATAAATAAAAAGTGCTCATTAAATAACATTTATAAAATAAAAATATGAAATCAACATGTAATACAATTTACCTATATTAATTTATATAAAATATTATATGAAATTTAAATTGTACAACATTACATAAAAAATGTCTATTTAAAATTAGTACATGATCCGTACGGTGCAAGTAACTGATAATAAATTACATTATATTCATTTCAAAGTAAGTGTCATTTTGAACTTTTTTGTTCAGAAATTCGATTTGACTACAATGTGATTTCATAAAATAATTATTTTGGTAAAATTTTAGCATATATTTAAAAATATATGTGAATAATAAGTATAATTATAAAACTCATATAGTTTCATTAATAAAAATGAATTTATTTTTTATAAACTATCCAAATAAAAAAATTAAGTAGTTGAGTAATTTATTATACGATAAATAATTGACTATTCTATTTACATCTAAGTTAATATTGACTCGTAAGTTATGACTAATTATTTATTTTAATTTTAAATTTAGAACCAAATTTAGACTACATAATTTATATATATTAGCTTGCAATTTTCTAGATTTGTTGTCGGTTACCTTATCGTTCAAATTAAACTACTTCTCTATAATTAAATTACAAATTTTAAATTTTATAAACCAATATTTGTTCAAGGAGCTTTCTTATTTTTAAAAGGAATACATATCAATTTACCGAATTGTCATCAATATCTTATGACAATTTAATATAGAAATTTTGCTAAAATTTAAGAACCATATCACCTTGATTTTATTACAACATGAATTTCATACACATACCAAATGAAATTTATACCACTTATTTTATTTTTAAAATTTCTAAATACACTTCGATACATACCAAATAAATTTTATACCAAAATAAAATTCTCACTTTATATTATAAATTCGGACATTTATTATTAACAATACATTTCTACCAAAAATAAAAATAGCCATCAGATACCTCTAAAATCTCCCACTTTATACGAAAATCGGATTAATTAGTTTTGCCAACTTTATACAATAAATGATTAATTAATTTCTAGAGGCGGACTTTTTTGAAAATTTTAGAAAATAACTATTAAGTTTAGTAACTTTTAAATTTTATAGGCACAATTTTAGTTAATATCAAATAAATACAAACTTTTTTATAAACATTTTTATAGATATATAGATATATTTGAATTTCAAAATACGTCCTTTTATTTTAATAAAAAATCCGTTCTTAAGACCATTAAAGTTTTTTTAGGATATATTATATAAAAAAATATTTACTTTTAATTATAGTTAATTATCATATTTTTAAAATTCACAAGGATATAATTTTCAAGAATTTTAAGGAATGGCTTGAATGCTTAAATGATACTTGTTAATTTCTACCAACAAACTCAACCACGATTTTTGTAAAGTGAGAAAGTGTAATATATATTATGGGTATAGTGGGTGAATTCATTTTGAAAGTATTTATTTATACTAATTAAATCATGATTATGTAAAATATAGTGAAAAGGATAAATCCAAATAAATTTCAATGATCATGGAGGAATGATCTTATCAGAAACGTTAGTTATGAATAAGTATATAGATGTTACGGTAAGATATAATGTATCCCTATAAATCATTATTGTTTCATTTAAATGTTTTAATTTAATTTTTTTTCCAAAAAATTTCCAAACTCATTTAAACGGAAAATTTTGAAATTTAAAAAAAAATATTTGTTTTAGTAATTCTGAAATTTTAGACGGAATTTTAATTTTTATTTCAAGTAAATACAAATATTTTTATATAGATATAAATATAGTTAAAATTACTCAACTTAAGACAATATAGATATAAAGAAATTATGCTATTTATATTATAATTATATCATTATCGTGTGATTGCCTACTGAAGTAGTTGGGCTACTTAATTATTTAAGAACACTGTTATCTATGCTAATTATGATTCAGGAATAACCAAAATGTTTTTT